AGTTACTAATAAATCCTACACAGTTTCCTCTATCTGGGCCACTCACTAGGATTTTTCAGGAGAACTTTATGATAGAATAAGTACAAATGTCCAGCTATTGGGTGAAATGAAGATAGCAACTTGTTATCTCCGTACAAAATCACACACCTAATTATATTTTTTCAAGTATAGTTAAATCAATAAAAATGGCTATCTTTACAAAGTGTTTGGTTGTTCTCTTAGTTACTATCTGTAAATCCAAGCAGCAAAAGTCTTACCAAAGACTCTGTGCAGAAACCTGTAGAGTCTTTCATCATGCTATATATATTTTTTTAAATAAACTTTTTCAAAGACAGGGACAGCTGTCAGATATAAATAGATTCTTAAAGATATATCACATCTGCCCAAAAATGAAAGTCATTTTTCATACCCAGCATTTTCTAACTTTCTGAATTGTTCTGTAAAAGTGTTTCATTCTTATATTGTGAAAGGCAGACAAATCAAAACTAGTGATGGGGAAAAATAATGATCACAGTTTCTATATAATTACCATTTGTTTTTCATTCAGATAGCATGAGTGTTCAACATGCTGCTTTTTATGGTTCTATTTAACTTTTCTGACTTTTGAGCCAAGGCTACAAAGTGGGAAGCTGCGTTATTTAAAAGAACAAATGGTGATGAAGCCTTCTGTAGGAAATGGGAATGGAGTGCTAGCCACCAAATTTTTTTAAGATTTTGTTTTATTCTATTTTGAATTTTTTAAGACTTTATTTATTTATTTGACAGAGAGAGAAAGGTCACAAGTAGGCAGAGAGGCAGGCAGAGAGAGAAGGGGAAGCAGGCTCCCCCCTGAGCAGAGAGCCCTCTCTGGGCCCTATGTGGTCCTCAATCCCAGGACCCTGAGATCATGACCTGAGCCAAAGGCAGAGGCTTAACCCACTGAGCACCCAGGTGCCCCACCTATTCTCTTCTAACTTCACTTATGCTCCACCCCCACTTCGACCCCTTCCATGAATGTGTGGATGCAGATGGCCAGGACCCATTTTACTCTCTGGCATTAGTAATCTTTTTTGAACTGCATTAAGCAGAGCAAGGATTCATTGCCATCCATTATACCTTCTGTGTTGCAGCTGATGCTAGGACAACCACCATTCTAGCAGTAAACATTTGCCTAGTTATCACACACTCACTCATTCAACAAATAAATGACAAAACAGTTAAAATGTGCCCATCATTATGCTTGATAGTGAACATAAAGAGGAGTACTTTCCCTCAAGGAATTTAAGGTCTAATGAAAGATACAAATAATAACGTGCTCAGGGCTGAATAGGGTTCACTTTTTGTTCCTCTCTTTTCTTCTCCTCACTCTTAAGAATGGAAAACTGTTGCATAACAACATATGTAAGTTATACTATGAATGTGTGTAATGGCCTCATGATAGAAATGGGACTGGCCAATAGTTATTCCCATTTAAAGACAGTGTCTGTTGGTGGGAATGTAGACTGGTTAAGTCATAATGGAAAACAGTATGGCAGTTACTCAAAAAAGAACTACTGTAAGATACAAAGATAGCAATTCTATTTCTAGGTATATATTTGAAGGAAATGAAATTATGATCTTAAAAAGATATCTGCACCCCCATGTGCACTGCAGCAATATTTACAATACCTAAGACATAGAAAAACCAAAGTGCCCATCAACAAATTCATGGATAAAGAGAATGTGTCATAAATACATATACAAAATGGCATATTTTCAGCCATTAAAAACCCCCAAAAGTCCTGTCATTTGCAACAACACTGATGGATCTTGAGAGTCATCCTAAGGGAAATAAATCAGAGAAAGACAACTACTTACTTACAGGGGGAATTTAGAAAAGATGAACTCCATGCGACAGAGTACAGTTGTGCTCCAGAGGGTGAGAGGAGTGGGGAAATGTTGGTCAGAGGGTGAAAACTTCCGGTTATAACATGAGTAAGTTCGAGGGTGTACAGGCATACCTTGTTTTCTTGTGCTCCGTTTTATTGCCCCTTACAGATACTGTGTGTTTTATGAAAAGGTTTGTGGCAACCCTCTGCTGAGCAAGTCTTTTGGATGCGATTTTCCCAACAGCATGTGCTCACTACATGTCTCGGGGTCACATATTGGTAATTCTCATAATATTTCAAATCTGTTCCTCATTATCATATTTGCTATGGTGATCTTTGATGTAACTATGGTAACTGTTTTGGGGGGCCAGAAACTGTGCCCGTACTAAGACAGTGAACTTAAATGTTGTGTGTGTTCTGACTGCTGCCCACCTCTCCCCCTTCTCCTATTCCCTGAGACACAACAGTATTAGAGGTCATTGTAGAGTTATTAATTGGCCTAAGTGAAAGTGAGAGTCCCACACTCTCTGTTTAAATCAAAAGCTAGAAATAATTAAACTTAGTGAGGAAGATATGTTGAAAGCTAAGATAGGCTGAAAGCTAGACCTCTTGTGCCAAAGGAAAAGTTCTTGAAGGAAATTAAAAGTGCTACTCAAGTGAGCATACACTGATAAAGTGAAACAGCTTTATTGCTGATATGGAGAAAGTTTTAGTGGTTTAGAAAGGACATCAAACCAGCACCCAAATTCCTGTAAGCCAAAGCCTGATCAGGAGCAAAGCCTTAACTCTCTTCAATTCTATGAAGGCTGAGAGAGGTGAGGAAGCTATTAAAGAAATGCTTGAAGTTAGCAGAGGTTGGGTCATGAGGTTTAAGGAAAGAAGCCATCTCTATAACATCAGCATGCAAGGTAAAGCAGCAAGTTGTGATGTAGAAGCTGCAGCAAGTGATTCAAGAGATCTAGCTTAGATAATTTATGAAGGTGGCTACAGTAAACAACAGGTTTTGAATGTAGACAAAACAGATTTCTATTGGAAAAAGATGCCATCTAGGACTTTCACAGCTAGAGAGAAGTCAATGCCTACCTTCAAAGGACAGGCTGACTCTCTGGCTAGAGGCTAAAGCAGCTGGTGAATTTAAGTTGAAGCCAATGCTAGGGTGCTTAAGAATTATGCTAAATCTACTCTTCCTGTTCTTTATGAATGAAACAACAAAGCCTGGAGGGCAGCACATCTGTTTACAATATGGCTTACTGGACATTTTAAACCCATTGTTGAGATCAGCTACTCAGAAAAAAAGATTTTCAAAATATCACTGCTTACTGACAATGCACTTGGTTACCCAAGAGCTCTGACAGAAAAGCACAATGAACTGAATGTGGGTTTCATGCTTTGCACTTTTCAGCCCGTAGATCAAGGAGTAATTTTGACTCTCAAATCTTAATATTAAAGAAATATATGTAATTAGGTTATAACTGCCCTCAATAGTGATTCCTCTGATAGATCTGGCAAAGTCAAGTGAAAATCTTTTGGAAAGGATTCGCTATTCTAGATGCCAGTAAAAACATTCATGATTCATGGCAAGAGGTCAAAATATCAACATTACCAGGAGTTTGGAAGAAGTTGATTCCAACCCTTACGGATGCCTTGGAGGGTTCAAGACTTTAGTGGAAGAAGTCACTGGCGAGGTGGTGGAAATAGCAGGACAACTAGAATAAGGAGTGGAGCTAGAAGATGTGAGTGAATTGCTGTAAACTCAAGATAACGCTTGAATGCATGAGGAGTTGCTTCTTATGGAGGACCAAAGAAAGTGGTTCTGTGAGATGGCATCTACTCCTGGAAGACAACAAAGGATTTAGAATATTCCTTGAACTTGAGAAAGTAGTGACAGGGTCAGAGAGGACTGATCCAAGTTTTGAAAAAGTTCTACTGTGGGTAAAATGCTATCAGAGTCCATCGACATGGCAAACTCCATTGTTGTCTTAAGAAATTGCTGCAGCCACCAACATGAAGGCAAGACCCTCCACCAGCAAAAAGATGAAGACCTGCTAAAAGCTCTGATGATGGTTAACTTTTTTTTTGGTAAGGATGTACACTGGTTTTTAGACATGATGCTATTGCACTTAATAGACTATAGTGTAAACATTAAATTTTCTATGCACTGAGGAACCAAAACAATTCCTTTTGGTAGTCTTTTTGAGGTACCCACTCTACTGTAGTAGTCTGGAACAAAACCTGCAAAAACAGCAGGTATGCCTGCTGTGTACAGCATGGTGACTAGTCAGAAACACTGCATTATATAGTTGAAAGTTATCACAATAATATTTACACATCTATCCCCCCATATACTTAACGTGTGTGTGTATGTGTGTGTGTGTAGTGAGAATATTTAAGATATAATATTGTGGCATCATTTTGCAGTGTACACATGTATCAAATAATCATGCTATAGACCTTAGAGTGTTATAGGTTATTCATATGTCAGTACAACTGGGGAAAAACATGCCAAGGTCCACTGTTGTCCTCCCAAGAACAGGAGCCATTGGGCACATGAGTATCCCCATGACACCTCAAGAAGTTGTAGCAGGTAGGGAGGCCAGGGTGGTGGAAAAGAAGAGAAGCACTACAAGAGAGAAAAGGATTTCTGGACTCCCACGTCTGACTGACTCTCTAAAGACTGAAGATGTACAAAAGGCAAATGATCTGCACCACATCCCAGAATATGTGCTTGTCTGTGATACTCAGGGAGTATGACTCTGCTATCTTTGACCTGCAGGCTCTTTCAGACATTGCAGAACACAATGCAGACTTACACCATTTCTCTAGCTTTTTCACGGAGGTAAAACAAATGTGTAACCACTTGAGCCTACACTGCAGTAAACTATGTGGCAATCATAGTAAAATTAGATTAAGAATCATTAGTGCACAACGTTAATTACCAGAAGTTAAGCCCTAGTATGCAATATAAGGTTTGGTTGTTTTTTTTTGTTTGTTTGTTTGTTTTTTTAAGGACATCACCCGATTTTCTATTGTAAACATAGAGATGTAAATTTTTTCAAGAAAAACAATTCAGAGCTGAGTATTTCAGTGCTGGTATTTTGATTCTTTGGTAGTCAGGGACTCCAGTGCTTACTATTTTTATGCTCTTCTTTCTAGAGTTACCTCCAAGTTTAAGGCCACCTCATGTTCTAAAATAGCTGCTGGAGTGCCAGCGCTTAGCCACAAGACCAGAGGAAGGTAAGTGGGAGGTTAAAGGGGCAAATCTCCCAGCAGAGTCAACTTTTTTTTTTTTTAAAGATTGTATTTATTTATTTGACAGAGAGAGACACAGCAAGAGAGGGAACACAACAGGAGTAGTGGGAAAGGGAGAAGCAGGCCTCCCGCCGAGCAGGAAGCCCAATATGGGGCTTGATCCCAGGACCCCAGGATCATGACCTGAGCCGACGGCAGATGCCTAACAACTGAGCCATCCAGGTGCCCCCAGAGTCAAATTTTTGAAAAGCCAGGTAATGTTCCATCCTACCCTTCCCTAATAATAACCAGAATTTATTTAAATGGTTATATCTCACTACCTTGCGGGCTGGTAGATGTGGGCTTTCTCAGCTTGCCAGACTGCTACTTAAAACTGGAATTCTGATACTAAGAAAAAGGGAGAGATTATATTAGGTAAACAACTAGAAGTCTCGACTCCAAAACCTGTGGAAAACTGTATACAATTAAGAGTAGAAATACCCATTATTCATTTCACTGTGTGAAGGAGAGGGTGATGGTCACTTGAGTATGCTTTATCTGTACAATTCTGGAAAATGCTGGGTTAGAAAAGTGTGGGTATATTTTTTCCTTCCTCTCTGCTGCACATGCAAGTGAGTTTACATACTCCTTCTTAGGGGAGTTTTCTCATAAATAGATAAATTTTGTCCTAAAGGAACAAGAATCATACAACTGTGTGGACTGCTTGGGTTTTCTCCTTCAACCTTAACTACAATCTTTTTTAATGCTGTTGGTCCACACAGGTGTTGCTGTGCAGCCTCCTGGATTCTTAAGAGAATGAAGGTAAGGGGTGTGCTATTTTAAGATCCCTACTTTTCCCCCCGTCCTCTTATTCTCAAGTAATTAGCTCATTCATTAAACATCTATTGAGAACCCATTATATCTGGCCTTCTGCTAGTAATAAGAAATACCATGATAAAAAATAGATCTTTCCCATCAATGTCCTTCCCACATCATTGCAAAGATGTCAAGTGAGCAGGTCGAGCACATTCTCCTAAGGGCTCAAGAGAAGAGAGGGACTGGGGGAGAGGGGGCACAAAGGAGGAACAACCAAAGGAGGAAGAGAAGGAAGAGGAGGAAGAGAAGCCTTCAGAGAAGAGGTATTCCTGGATGTGGGGGGAAAACAGTTCAGAAACTTTCTAGACTGTCTTCCAGGCAGAGCCCAGCACCTGAAAGGACTGGAATGAATGAAACCACCAGCACATAGTCTGAGAAGGACAGATTGTATAAGATGTGACAGTAGAAACTGCTAATGAAGATTTTTCTCACCTCTCAGACAACACAGAGATCAAGAGGCATAACCATCACACTCTACCTTTATTTCTTACCCTGGTCTCTCAACTTCCCACACCCAATATAATTGTTGAAAGTCCCTCCACAATTTCCTTTGAAGTCCATCTCCTCCTTCAATCCCACAGGGGCGGTTATGCAAGTCTCTTAACTGCTTTCTAGCCTTGGCCCCCAGCCCACCTCTCCTGCCCTCCAGAGTCTATCCTCTACCCAGCCAAAGGAGTGACTTACCTGATTATACAAAACAAACACTTCTGGAGATCCTATGGCTCCATGAAAAAGTTCAAATTCCTTAGCACAGTATAGATGGTTCTTGATACCTCTGTCTACCTTCCCAGCCCCTGTGTTGCTAGGGCACAGACCAACACTGTGAAATACTGGCCATGTCTCACAGCCTAGAGACTGTGCCAGGGAAGTATTTATGTGCTGGCTGGGAGGGACACACATCGGAACTCACCCCTTTGGCCACACCAAACTGCAAAGGGGGCTGGAGCATATGAGGAAGAGAAAGACAGTTTGGCTGAGCAGCAAGCAATCTGCCCTACAAATCCTTTTTCAGCTTTGTCCTTTTACTTTTTATGCTATAAATTATCTTTGCTCCTATTTCATAATCGTAACTGTTTTTTGAAAATACTAATTTAGTAATATTAAATTCTAATTTCTGGATTTTTTTTAATTTGAAAAAAATTTTTAAAGATTTTATTTATTTATTTGACAGAAACCACAAGTAGGCACAGAGATAGGCAGAGAGAGAGAGGGGGAAAGCAGGCTCCCCACTGAGCAGAGAACCCAATGCAGGGCTCGATTCCAGGACCTGGAGATCATGACCTGAGCCAAAGGCAGAGGCTTAACCCACTGAGCCACCCAGGTACCCTTAATTTTAATTTTTTTATACAATTTTTTTTTAAGATTTTATTTATTTATTTGACAGAGATCACAAGTAGACGGAGAGGCAGGCAGAGAGAGAAAGAGAGAGAGAGAGGGAAGCAGCCTCCCTGCCGAGCAGAGAGCCCGATGCGGGACTCGATCTCAGGACCCTGAGATCATGACCTGAGCTGAAGGCAGCGGCTTAACCCACTGAGCCACCCAGGTGCCCCTTAATTTTAATTTTTAAAAATTCATTTCCATTGGGGTCATTTGTGCTTAATGTTCATTTGAGCCTTACTGTCTTGTGCTATGGGTTTTCCTTTAATAATTATTAACACCTGCTTACTATGTATCAGGTACCATAAGCATTTACATATATCTGTCATTTATTTAAAACACCTTTCTAAGGTAGGTCCTATTAACAGATGAGGAAACTGCGGCACAAAGTGTTAATTTACTTGTTCAAGATCACACAGCTAGTTCATGAGTTTTGAATCCTGACATTCTGAGCTGCAAATCTTAGGGTATACTACTTTTCACATGTATAATGCATTTTGGATATCTGTTCCTGGTTAAAAATAAGCATTATGTTAATTAATTTAGGTAGTCTGGAGAGGTTTCTTCTGCTTTTGTGTAGTGAGCTCAAACCACAATAAATTTTAATGTGCTCTACTCTGACATTTCTCCTTTTCCATTCTCCATGCAGTTTCCTCAGAGTTCATGGAGAAAGAGAAGCCCTCTGATGGGAGCCACTGTACAATTCTATAGAATACTGGTAACTGATCATAAAATTAAGAAGAGAATCGTTAGAAGTTATCAGTATATTAAAAAAAAATCAGCTCAGTTTATGACCTCAGGGTTGTGAGATGGAGCACTATGCTGGGCATGGGGCTTGCTTAAGATTCTCTCTCTCCCTCCCTCAAAAAAAAAAAAAGGTGTCAATATGTGGCTTCATTTTAGGGTGGACATTAAATATGTACACAGATTTAATGAAGCTACTTGTAATTATTGTCTGAGTAACCTATTTTATGGTCAAAGTTCTAAACAGTATTTCTATAGTCTTAAGCTAACAAAATGAGTTTAGGCCCAATTATAAGAATTTCTATATCCCTAAATTACTGTGATGAGTTTAGATCTGTAAAAATCTCTGAAAATAAATACTCCATCCTTGTCTATGCTTGGTGAGACTCTGAGACACGTTTTCCCTTTGGTGTTCTAGAAAATACTCAGCTCATTTTTTTAAGGACAATTTTAGCCCTCCTGTCCTTTACAGCAAATAAGAAATATAGTAATTAGTTATTGTCTAATCATTAGAATAAGCACAATCGGGACAGGAAGCTGTTCAACACTGTGTCCTCATTTTCTGACATACAGCTGACACTCAAACATTTTTGACAGGCTCTGCCTCACCTTTTCAGTGTCCAGGTGGGTGGCAGTACCAGGTGGGCGAGGCTCTTAGTTCTTGCAGACTGCCTGGCCGACTGTGGTTTTGATCATTAGTGCTCATGGTTCTGCCTTTAATCAGCAGTGCTGAACACTGGCCCCAGGTCCTTGCCAGAGAGTAGGCCTTTGAACGGTCTGCTGCTCACCTTTATTGAAAGCTCTTGATGGAAATATTGAAGGACGAGTGTTTAAAGGACCAGTGGTCAATGCATTCCTGACTGCGACCCTTTCATGGATTGAAAGCTCTGAAGTCATTCCCTAGAAAAATACACTTAAAGAAACACACAGAAAATGGTGTCTATAATACTACTCTCTGAAGCACATATTTGACCCTAGAGAGCCCAGCCCATGATGACAAATAGGCTTCAGTTTTGTCAGTTCTAATAAATGGGTAGTGATGGCCAAGAGCACTTGTTTCAAAAACCTCAGCCCACTTGGGCCTTAGTAGAAAAGACTTGGATGACCTAGTTGTGCACACACGATGTGTGGTGAGGCAAGCACTGGGGCCAGTAATGAGCTATGCTTGTGGTGGCCTTTTTCTGGCAACAAAAGGATATGGGCAGCAAGCTGTGGATGTTGTCCATGGGCTTTCCCATTTCTCCAGCAAACTGCTTCCATTGAGTTGGATTTGGGCGTTATGCCCTCATCATATATTAAAGGAGAATAAAACTAAAGTTTCCTGTGAGGCCCTGCTTAAAAGTAAACTTTTGTTGTCAGCATATCATAGAAACATATTGGCCACCATACGTCAGATAAGAAGTCCTTGTCAAACTGAGGTGTCAGGAAAATCTTTGATGCACTGGAGAATGCTATCTTTCATGACCATGAATATAGACATAATAGACATAATAGTGACATAATAAACAGTTCCTTTTTGCTTCAGCTTTTTGAAATATCAGCCCAATGTCAGTCATTAGCCATGGGCCTAAATTCATGGACAATAATGCTATTTTTTTCTATATATTTACTGCTAGATCTATCCATCTCTCTCCGTGGATCTAACTATCCTTATAGGCCACTTCAAATCATTGGTGGAACAAAGGAGGATATTTAAAAACAAATAATGTGAAAAATAAACAGCACTCCTCTTTTAGCTTCAGACCATTAATTTTACAGTGTTTAGACAAAAGAATAGTAAATACATGCGATTAATAGATTATTATATCCCTCTAAGTAACAAGTATATAGTTAGGGTGTTCTTTCTATCTCCTGTTCCCTCCAGTATGACTAAACTTTTTTTCTAGAGACAGACTCTAGTGTGAGGCCCTGACAAATTTTTTTTCTTTTTTTAATAATGCATGTGCCTGACTTTAGTTGCCAAGGAATCAAAGATGGCAATCTCCAATTATCACGCGGTCAGCCACAGAGATAGAGCCAGGCCACCTCACCCCATTGAGGTTCCTTTGTTGAGAGATCTTGACTTCAATAACTGACCCTTTGGGCACTTGCCTTTCTCTTCCCATGTTTGTAAAATCCCCCACTAAAGAGTGAGCCCACGAAACACTAGGCCCCACTTTCCACCCAAGTAAAAGCAGAACCTCTAGCCCGTGCATGCTTTCACTCTAATTTCCAAGTCTTGTAAGTAATAAACCTCTGTTTTCCCAAAGTTCCCTGATGATTGTTGCCAAAGGGTATCTTGCAATCATAAGAACCACAAGGGCCAGTCCAACTACAAGACAAGACTAGTTATCGATAGGTTAAGATTGGCACAAAACAATGGATGTAGCAGTCAGCAGGATTGTGGGTTGCTCTTGAAATTAACTGAGGGGAATGCCCTTTACCTGTAATTTGCTTACCAGCTGCCTAACTCAGGGTAACCCCATATGGGAAGCGAGCATGTTTGCTGGGGGTCTGTGGCACTGCTATGTGCTCTGATGTATTACCCCTGCAATATGTTACCTGCAGTATCCAACCCAAAGAGTCATGCTATGGTCATGAACAGTTTCCCCCAAGCAGTGTGATCAAGGTCATATGGTCTGACAAGATATATTGACTAACATGAGAAAGGGTCTACCCCACCTTAAGGCCAAGGAGAGCTAAGAAGGACAGATTGGATTGCAAGCACATTATTGCAGTAAGAAACCAATGACACCACCAGAGTTTCGGAAAGCACAACAGAGGCCATGGTTTCTGGGTCACCACTTCACTCACTGCTGTCACTCTTCATCCCTTGATCCAATAGAATATTAGTGTCCTATGTTAGAAAAATTGATGGAGAACTATAAATGTTGTGGACATCTAGTCCTGAGGATCCTGAGGAGGTCTAGCAGCTGCTCAGTAAATTGCAAAGCCTCAGGGATGCTTCCTGGGTATTTTCCAATGTCAGGCACACCAGCATGCTAAGACCCTGCCATTAAACTCTAGAGGCCTAGTGGCTTTCTCATATTGGCAGAGGCAGAGCTGAATCCCAGAGGGGTTCTCCTGGGACCCTGGAAAGAAAAACAGCTACCTTTGAAGAGGCTTTGTAGTGATGTCATCTAAAATTTTCCAGTAACAACACCCCAGATTAAGGTAACAACAAAAAAGTCAGGAACAAAAACTGAAAGTAAACAATATCCTAACTGAGATTCAACCCTTTCTTAAAGATTATATACAACAGGCAGGAGAGAGGGGAACTAATAGGCTCTTGTCAGTTTTCTTTTTTGATTAAAAGGGCTCTGGATTCTTATTCACAGCTGCCAAAATGGGTCAACTGGTTGGTAGGTGTCTCCAAAGACTCTGAAATCTATAACTTCTTTAAAGATCCATCCAGGCAAATGCTCATTTCCTTCCATCACAGTGATCATGGCTAAAGCTCACAGTGGGTAGAAAACATTAAGATGAGGCTCCTCTCCTCCTGTGCAAAACTGGCAGAATCCAAAGAGTTTATCCTTTCCCAGACCATAGTGACCCCCAAGGCCACATCATCATTTCCAATCCAGAAGAGGCCCCATTGGACCTTGAGTTCAGAGAATTATTCTTTACAGGCCACACCACCTAATTACAAGACCGCACAACCACATTTTAACTGGGGCTGCCAAAACTGCCCCAAAAGCACTCAAACTCCTAAAAGAAAACCTTCACTCTTCTCTGCCCCTTGAAGATGTCAGTCTTACCATGTCTTTGAAATGTAAATGCCCAGGAGGTCTCTAGAATGACGCCCACACTGGCCTAAGAGGGAGGGAGAGAGGAAGGAAGAGAAGGAAAGAAAGGAAAAGAAAGATACAAGCTGCAAAAAAGGCTCCTTTGCCCAGACTCTAGATCACTGTCTCCTTAAGATTACTTCCAGGGACAAATACAAATGGTAAAAGTCTTTTTTACAAATAGAGAAAGAGGTTAGCCACGTGAACAGGTAAGTTTAACTTATTCCAGAAAAACAGTTTGAATCCAACTGTTCTTTTGTAAACTAGTGAGCTGGGCATTATTGTATCCATCTCATGGCTAAACATTTAAAAAACCATAAC